AAGAAACAAAAATGATGCCTCTTCAGCTTACATTCTCACCCTTCAGTTCTTCTCAGCTCCCCTTACTTCAGTTTACATGTCTCTACCATGCAACCTGGTTTTAAGGAATGGCTGATAGAGTTCAGAATCCTGTTCCTTTTTGGAAACTTCCGTGAGTTGATTTCCTCTTAAAAGTTGTATTCAATTCACCAAACATTTTTTAAAGCTCATATTTGCCAGGTCCTGTGATAGGAGCACTGGTGGCACTGTAGGATAAACACTGGATTGCTAACTGTAAGGTTGGTAGTTCAAACCCACCAGCTGCCTTGTGGGAGAAAGTTTTGCAGTCTCAGAAACCTTGTATTGTGTTAGTATGAGCCAGAATTGACATGATGGTAGTAGGTTTGACTTCGGGTTTTTTCGGTGATCGGCACTAGGGGCAAAGAGATGAAAAGAAACCTCATTCCTCTGACTTTATTTTAATTTCTAATCCTGCAAAGATAAGCAAATAGCAAGTAATTATAATTGAATGTGATAACTGTAATAGAAGAGATCTGGATAAGTTCATTTGTTTGTTTTGGATCAAACTTTGAGTGTCTAGCTCTGCTTGAAAAGATAAGAGTAGCTGTTTATATTAATCTTTGGGGTCTTGGAAAATGGCCAGATTCTTAAAAAGAGATCAAAGAGTTAATGTTTGCTACTGATGAATATGTCAGGAGCAGTTTAATGGGAAGCAGGATTAGAATCAGGCCAGTAAGAAGGCTGTTAACAATTTAATCCAGTCAGAAAATGTGGAAGGCCTCTAAGCTGAAGTTTGTCATAGGGAGGAGAGGTTGAAGAAGAGAGAATCGCCTGAAAAATAGCCAGTGGGGAGTGAAATGTTAGAAGGAAAAAGCTTTGAATGCCTTCTTCCCCAAGGTGGGTGAAATGTGAGAGGATAGTCAGGTTTGTAGGGAATGATGTGCTTGTGAAATATCCAAAAGTTCCATTTGACTGTAGTCACAGATCTCAGAAGCAAGGTTCCTAGTAGCAAGAGATTGGACAGCAGTCATTCATAATGTAGGTAACATAGATAATGTAGAAGAAAGATTTGGTGGTCTACCAACCATTGAAAACCCCATAAAGCACAAGTCTTCTCTGTTACACATGGGGTTACTATGAGTAAGTAGGCAATTGGTTTAGTGACTGTGTGTGTGCAGACAGAGCATATGAAGTGAGGACTAAGCTAGAGAGATTGTGATACCACCAGTGTCTGTGTGGCAGACTGTAACCATCTAACTAGCAGGGTTTTGAGGACAGATTAGTAATTTATATGAAAATAGACAGCTAGTACAGTGACTGTCAAATAGTGGGTAAGTAGTAACTGTCACTTTCTTCCTTTGCTTACATATGGTGTTGTACCGAACTCCCTTTCCCTTACTTCAACTCTGTTCAACTTGTACTATTGCTTTCTAGGCAGATATACATAACCTTTACATTGATTGACAGAGAATCTTCTTTTAGGAATGTAGTATATGAATACTCATCCTATTCATACATTTAGATTACAGACCCTATGAGGGCAGAAGACTTATATTCATTTAGGTGTCTTTGCTGCACCAGTTAACTTAGAGCTTTGTACATGTTAGATAAGTAGTTCAGATTTATGAAAGATTTATGAAATGAATTGAGTTTCCTGGCTTCTCATTTATGCTTGGTGTATATTCATCTTAAGGACTAGCAGTGGGTATATATATTCCTTCCATATCTTCTCTCTTTTCTAGTTTATTCTGAAAAGCAAGCCTTTAAAAAAATGTTTTTAACTTTTCATCCCTTTTGAACAGCACACTAAGAAATTTTGTAAGAATTTTTGTTACTACTGTTAGGTACCGTTGAGTCAGTTCTGACTCATAGCAACCCTATGCACTACCCGGTCCTGTGTCTCACCCTCACCGTTGTTGTTACATTTGAGCCCATTGCTGCTGTGCCAGTCCATCTTGTAGGAGGTCTTCCTCTTTTACGCTGACCCTCCACTTTTCCAAGCATGATGTCCTTCTCCAGGAACTGATCCCTCATAACAATGTCTTTGCTTCTAAGGAGCATTCTGGTATATTTCTTCCAAAACAGATTTGTTTGTTCTTCTGGCAGTCCATGATACTTTCATTATTCTTCAACAGCATTATAATTCAAATACATTGATTCTTCTACAGTCTTCCATATTCATTGTCCACCTTTCACAGGCATATAAGGTAATTGAAAATACCATGGTTTAGGCAAAGTGTGCCTTAATCCTCAAACTAATATCTTTGCTCTTTTGCAGCAGATTTACCTAATACAGTAGGTTGTTTGATTTCTTGATTGCTGCTTCCAGGAGCTTTGATTGTGAATATGAGCATATTGAAGTCTTTGACAATTTCAGTCTTTTCTCCATTTAGCAATGTGGTTCTTTTGTGAGGATTTTTATTGTCTTTATATTGAGGTACAATCCATACTGAAAACTGTACTGTTTGATATTCTAGAGTAAGTATTTTAAGTCTTCTTCACTTTCAGCAAGATAGGCTGTGCCATCTGCATATTTCAGACGGTTAATGACTCTTTCTCCAGTCCCTATGCTATGTACATCTTCAGATAAATCCAGTTTCTTGTATTTGCTCAGAATACAGATTGAACAATTAATGGTGAAAAGGTTTTAAACCTTTACCTTGTTCTATTTGAACAGCTGTCTATTGGTCTGCATGATCACAATGAAATGTTCTGAAATACAAGTTCTTCTCAATGTTACTATCCATAATTTGTCATGATCCACACAGTCAAATGCCTTTGCATAGTCAGTAAAGCAAAGGAAATATCTTTCTGTTGTTATTTTCTGCTTTCAGCCAAGATCCATATGACATCAACAATAATATCTTTCTAAATCTGGCTTGAATTTCTGGCAGCTCCATGTCAATGGTTTTTAATTATCTTCAGCAAAACTTTACTTGCATGTGATATTAATGATATTGTTCAATGATTTCTGAATTATGTTGGGTCATCTTTCTTTGAAATGGGCAGAAATATCTCTTTTGCTTCATTTCTTCCATTCCCTCTAGTTTATCTGCATTCAAGAGCAATGAGTTTCTTCTAACATCTACTTTGATCTTTTCTTTTTCTTTCTTTTCCCCTTTCCTTGCAATGGTTTTTTGCTTTCTTCATATATGATGGTCTTGGTGTCATCACACAACTCTTCTATTCTTCTGTCATTAATGTCTAATGCATCAAATCTCTTGTTGAGATTGTCTTTAAAATCAGATGGGACATACTTAAGGTCATATTTTTGCTCTCATGTACTTAATCTACTTCCTCTTCAACTTGAACTTGCATATGAATAATTGATAGTCTGTTCTACAGTCGGCCTTTGACCTTGTTTTGGCTGATGGTATTGAACTTTTCCATCTTCTCTTCGCACTGTATAGACAGCTTGATTCCTGTGTATTACATCTGGTGAGTTTCAGTTGTATAGTCTTATGTTGTTTAAGAAGGGTCTTGCAAAATTCTGTCATATAATCTCCAGCATTATTTCTGTCATCAAGGCCATATTTTCTAACGACTGATCCTCCTCTTTGTTTACAATTTTCACATTGCAATTACCAGTAATTATCATTGCATCTTGATTGTATGTTTGATCAATTTCAGACTGAAGAAGTTGGTAAAATTCTTAATTTCTTCATTATTGGCTTTAGTGGTTGGTGCCTAAATTTGAACAACAGTGGTATTAAATGGTCTTCCTTTGAACACCTGGTATGGCACCAGTGGATAAGCACTGGACTGTAAACCACAAGGTCAGCGGTTCAAACCCTGTTCACAGTCGCTGTGGAGCAGAATCTATTCAATGGTGCTTAGCAAAACAACAACAGAACAAGCATATGATGAGTATTATCTTATCACAGAAAACATTGAGGTTCAAAAATAGATTTTGAGATGTTCTTTTTGATGATGAATGCTATGCCATTGCTTTTCAGTTTGTCATTCCCAGCATAGTGAGGAGTCCTGGTGTGGTGCTGCAGGATAATGAGTTGGACTGCAAGGTTGGTTTGAACAGCAGAGTCAGCAGTTTAAACCCACCTAGCCACTCTGGAAATCATAGACAGGGTCACTATGAGTCAGAACTGACTTAACGACATAGTAAACCATGTGTTTACAATGTTGTTGTTATGTTAGATTAAAAATGGCCATTGCTTTTTCAGGAGTCCTGGTGTGGTGCTGTGGGATTAAACACTGGACTGCAAGGTCAGTTCTGCAGTTCAGATTCACCAGCTGCTCCTTGGAAACCCTATTTACAGGGTCGCTATAAGTCGGAACCGACTCAATGTCACTTAACAGTCTGTTTCAACTCATTAATGCCTAGGATATCAATGTTTATGTGTTCCATTTCATTTTTGGTAACTTGCAATTTAATTAGATTCATGCTTTGTACATTCCATGTTCCAGTTATTAGTGGATGCTTGCAGCTGTTTCTTCTCATTTTGAGTTGTGTCACATCACCAAATAAAAATTCAGAAAGCTTAACGCCATCTGTGTCATTAAGATTAACTCTACTTTGAGGAGGCAGTTTTTTCCCAGTTGTATTTTGAATGCCTTCCAAACTCTGCTCATCTTCCGGTACTATTATGATCAGACAATGTTCTGGTACTATTTGCAACACTTTCAATGCTTAACCATTCAGAAGTGGTTCTACTCTCCTTATTTCTAGTCCGTCTTAATCTGGCAGCTCTGCTGAAACGTGTCCACCATGTGTGACCCTGCTGGTATTTAAAATACAGTTGGCATAGCTTTCATCATCACAGCAAAACACAAGCTACCACATTACAACAAACTGCTGACAGATGAGTGGTGGAGAATTTACAAAGTCACTTTGCAGTTACAAATAGTTTGTGTTTATTGTTTCAAATTCTGTTCTGAGACCTTTAAAATGAATTGCAGCTAATGCATTTAGAAAATAAGAACTGTAAGTAATTGGGGGATCAAATGATAAATCTAACTGTTACTTCTTTTGTCTTCTTTAGGGCCTGTTATCTTTCCTGAGTGCCCCCCTCATAGGTGCTCTGTCTGACGTGTGGGGGAGAAAGCCCTTTCTCATTGGCACAGTCTTCTTCACCTGTTTCCCAATCCCACTGATGAGAATCAGTCCATGGTGAGTGGGTCAGTTCCCTCTGCCCTCATGACCTGTCATGAGCTATGTGTATATTAAAACACTACATCTACATAGCACATACTAATCACTTCATCAGAGTAGTCGTACCTTTGTGTTTAATTTAATGCTTTGGTAATCCTGGAAGCCAGCCTACATAATTGCCCTAAGGCCCATTTTATAAATGTGGAAAATAAGACATTACAAAATGAAGTCTAAGACTACTTATTCAGTTGAAGAAATAGAAATAACATATAATGATAAGTGTTGTTGCCATGAGTTCAGTGATCTAAGTTCAGTCCAGTAACTCACTGTTGTTGTTCAGTCAACTTAGAAAATCATTAGTTTTAGCAGCTCATTGCTTTGGAGTGCTGCTATGAACATATCAAGACTGGAGTAAACTTTTGTGTATACTGTGGTGGTGGTTGTGGTGGTGGTGGTGATGTGCTGTGTTGTTGGTTCTGACTCATAGCGACCCTGCATAGGTTTTCCAAGGCTGTAAATCTTTATGGGAGTACAGAGCTTCATCTTTCTCCCGTAGAATGGCTAGTAGTTTTGAATTTCTGACCTTGAGGCTAGCAGCCTAGCTCGTAACCACTATGCTACCAGAGCTCCTTAGTTGTAAATCATAATATTAATTTTAATTTGTTTTTGGTTTTTTACCAAAGATGGAGATTGTGGGTCAGAACTTGTGAGTAAATTATTACTTAGTTGTGACTGGAGGCCAGAGAATGATATTTTGTTAGTGTCCTTTTGCTAAAATGTTCTTTCTTGTGAAGCATGGAAGTGTTTGTTTGTTGTAAATGCTATTAATGGATTTACTTCTGTGACTCATGTAAAAAGATTCACATTTGATTATCTAATGGGGATTTTTATGTCAGTATTTGTAAAATTCTAAATTTGTTGGGACCCATAATTGTTGTTTTTATTAAGTGTTGTTGGATTGGTTCCAACTTACAGCAGCCCTGTATAGGATTTTCAAAGCTGCAAATCTTTGCAGGTACAGAAAACCTCGTCTTTCTCTCACAGAGTGACTGGTAAGCTCAAACTGCCAACCTTGTGGTTTGCAGTATGGTGTTTATCTTACAGAGCTACCATGCTCCCCTGGTGACCATCAAAGACTATTTTAAAACTACCAGGCAAAGCATTTTTATGAAATATTCTCTGATATTTCTTTTAGTGTAGTGGTTACGAATCGGGCTGCAAACCTTAAGGTCAGCAGTTCGAAACTACCAGCCGCTCCGCGGGAGAAAGATGAGGCTTTCTACTCCTGTAAA